CTTACTTAGAAAAGAACATAGATTCTGGTAGTTATTGATAACACTAATATTTAAAAAGGCTAGCTACAAATGAGTCTTTTCTGGGGGAGCCCCTTTCGGCTCCCTAGAGCTTATCCAGGCTGATATGCTAATGTCAGACTTTGGCATCAGTCATGTGTATGGAGTTCTGTGGGCCTACCGGGGACCACGAGCCAGAACCTGGCCCCCTCAGAGAGGCATGGGGAGCAATGGCCTATAGAAACCCCCGTGTGGTTGGAAGCATTCTATGTCTGCCATCGACCGGGTCAGGCACCCAGAAATGTAAGCATCCAAAAACAAACCACTATTCTGGTGAAAATTGCTACCAAAAGCCGAACAAGTGGATAGAACTCCCCAAAAAGAAACAATCAAAACAAAAAGAAACGGTGTTCACCAGCCCCAGTGTTTCCACCACTCGGTACCTTGTCCACTCATACTGAAAAACACTGGCGAGTTCACCTTTCACATGGGCCAGACGACTGACACAGTATCAAGAGGTGTCTATACCCCTCTATTGTTCTCCAGCTACTTGCTGGCAGAGGACTTCAACCACACGCTGATCGGGATCACAAACAACCATATAAAGGGGTAGTTAACCCATGGCAGAAGCCTCTAGCAACCGACTAGCAGCACTTCACTACAGGCATCTCATTGTTGTCCGTTACTCTCCCAAGCCAATCCCAGGTATGTCGATCTATACCAACACTGCGTATATTAGCAGCTAACACACTGCTCAGATACACGGCGGCTTACTTAGTCTTCTTCCAGGACCAAGCTGAGAGTACGTGGACTGCCCAAGGCAGTCTACCCTCCTCAGTATGACTGCTGCCACACGTCACCTCTATGGACATAAAACGTCATCCGTTAAATGGACGGTACACTGGTGAAACCATGAGGTAACACTCATTCCCGGGAGAGTTGACATTATGCTCTGTAGCACAATCTAGGTGGCACTGGTCTTGATACGCCCACCACCAGAGGTCATCCACAACGACCGCTCTGTCTGACCAAGGCAGGAAACAGGAGCTATTCATTACTGCCACACCACCACCAATAGATGGCGTTGTCCACATAGCGTCCAATATGAAAGGGGGGGGGTTTGGAGTGCAGACCCATAGATGGCGCTGGAATTGCCACTCTACACTCCGACGAATGTGATGAGACCATAACACTCCCCCCCCCCCTCGCTAGTGGCACCTTCGACCCAGAGTCCTGCGAGTTTCATTGCTTGTTTGTGACTCGGTTATCCGGTCTTATGCTGACTATGCGGGTGCAGGCAGCACGGGTGTTGCACGTTGGGTTCAGGTGGTTGCAACGCGTTTGGTTGTTTGCTCCCCGGACACCCTGAGGCTGCCCGGTTTTGGTTGTTGTGATGGGGCTTGGAGGTTATCTTGAGATGATTTCGGGGCTTTAGTGTCCCAGCGGCCTGGTCCTCGACCAGGCCTCCACCCCCCAGGAAGCAGCCCGTGACAGCTGACTAACACCCAGGTACCTATTTTACTGCTAGGTAACAGGGGCATAGGGTGAAAGAAACTTTGCCCATTGTTTCTCGCCGGCGTCCGGGATCGAACCCGGGACCACAGGATCACAAGTCCAGCGTGCTGTCCGCTTGGCCGACCGGCTCCCCCGGGGGGTGTTGGTTGCTTTGGTTTTGTTCCTTCCTCGGCCCCTTATCTTTCCCCTGTTGTACATCTGGGGAATCAGGTTCCCCCCCCCTCTTCCTCCCTGCATCCGGATCCTTTTTGTCTGTGGGTTCTGGGTTGGGGAGGGGATTCGATGGTCTTGAGACTCGGGTGGTCTCGGGGGTTTCCCCTACCGGGGTAGCGTTGGAAGCATTCGAGCCTGTTCCTCCAGCTGAGTTGTATGAATCTGTCAGTGGGCTCCCTTCTTTAGTCATTTTTCGGCTGCCCCAGCCTTTTCTTGTGAGGTTGGGGCTTTGGGGGGGACGACTCGGTTTCAGAGCCTGCCGTGGAGGTTCTCGGGGTTGGGGAGGGGCTGACTTGGGGGGGGCCTCGGGCCCCGTTGGACCCTGCCGGGGTTTTCTACCCTCAGTGCGGGGCTTGTGGTTGTGGGGAGTGGGGTCTTTCCTTCCCTCTCTGCATAGGAGTTCTTGGGCATCGGCCCCCTCCCTGGGTTTGGATCCTTGTCCCTTCAGGTCCATTCGGTTCCGTCCTATCGGTGGGCGGTGGGTACTTTTTTCCGTTTCTACCCCATTTTCTCTGGGGCGGGACTTCTCCATCATGGAGGCATGGAGGGGTCGTGTTCCCCTATTATCGGGGTTTCTGCAGGACTTTTGGTCTCGGGTGCAACTGTGGCTTTCTGAGCCTTCGTGATTTTGTTGCTTCTGAGAGATCTCGGGGGTTCAGGAAGGTCTTCAATTCTTCCCGCATTGTTGGAACGTCTGTCGTCTTCCGGTGAGGCTTACCTCCGGTCCTTTTTGGACTCATTGGTCCTCTCCTGTGCTTCTTGGTTTCTGATACTCTCATTCTTTTGTCACTATATATTCTCTCCGTGCTCTGTCTAGGCACTGCTAATATTTTGCAATACTCCTTGTTGGCACCCTCCTTGCTGGGCAGAGTTGTGCGGTTTGGACCTCATGCGTCCTGCGCATGTGCCGTGGGAGTTTTTGTTGTGGATGGTGTAATTACCTAAGTGTAATTACCTAAGTGTAGTTACAGGATGAGAGCTACGCTCGTGGTGTCCCGTCTTCCCAGCACTCTGTCATATAACGCTTTGAAACTACTGACGGTCTTGGCCTCCACCACCTTCTTACCTAACTTGTTCCAACCATCTACCACTCTGTTTGCAAAGGTGAATTTTCTTATATTTCTTCAGCATCTGTGTTTAGCTAGTTTAAATCTATGACCTCTTGTTCTTAAAGTTCCAGGTCTCAGGAAATCTTCCCTATCAATTTTATCAATTCCTGTTACTATTTTGTATGTAGTGATCAAATCACCTCTTTCTTCTGTCTTCTAGTTTTGGCATATTTAATGCCTCTAACCTCTCCTCGTAGCTCTTGCCCTTCAGTTCTGGGAGCCACTTAGTAGCATGTCTTTGCACCTTTTCCAGTTTGTTGATGTGCTTCTTAAGATATGGGCATCACACAACCTCTGCATATTCTAGCTTTGGCCTAACAAAGGTCGTGAACAATTTCTTTAGTATATCGCCATCCATGTATTTAAAAGCAATTCTGAAGTTAGAAAGCGTGACACAAGTGCTGGTGTTCCCGTGTCCTTGCTCTCTCGAGTGCTTTGCCCCTCACGCTCTCCAGTCTCGTCCCCTCTCCAGCCCATGCCCCGTAGATGCTGGGGGTGTTCTGGATTGCCGCTATGAGGAGGATGCTTGGTTTTCCCTGCATATTTGCCTCTACCCAACTCTTCTCCTGCAGGTGTGGCTCTGGCCCTCTTCCTCTGGCGGTACTCCCGGATTCCTCTCGGCTATGTTGTGTCATGACACGTTCGTGCCTCCATTCTGCAGGTGAGTTTATGTGGTCGGGCGTCTCTTTCAGCCAGGCGCTGGTTCGTGGCTACGGATTTATGAACATAAGAACAAAGATGACTGTAGAGGGCCTATTGGCCCATACGAGGCAGTTCCTATTTATACCCATCCGGTCCCACTCATATACACGCTCATCACATGCTTAAGTCAACTAAGGGGCCCCACCTTCACCATGTTTCGAGGTACAATGGTGGAGGTACATGTTATGGGGTAAATGTTACACTTGGGTCATGATGTTATGAGGTGACATTGTGGTGTGGCTTGGTACTGCGGATCTGTGTTGGGATTTGGTTGTGGCGTTTTGTTTGGCCCTGGCATGCTTCTTCCTGGGGCTTTCCTTTTTCGTCTGTGTTGTTTGTTACTCAGTGGGTCCCGGCCCCGTTTTTCATGGTCTTATCTGGTTCACTCTTTCCTTGCCCGTCTTGCAATGCCTGGCTTAACCTTTCCATATACAATGGATTCTCTGTGTTCACCTAGTTGTCCTTACCTAGCTGTGCTTGCAGGGAATGAGCTCTGGGTCTTTGGTCCTGTCCCTTTCGGTCCCGTTGTTTCCTGTCTTCCTTATTCCTCATCTTCCTTCGACGCTCTTGTATCTGCATCAGGTCGATTGACCTGCGGGGTAATATTTGAGGGGTAGTTGGATTGTTTTGCGTGTCGGTTCCTTATCAGGGCTTGACATCTGCGAGAAGCCCTGTACGAGTTAATTTACGCTTGTTTGTGTTGTGTTACCTAAGTGTCAGGGGTTGTAATAGTTCTGATGTTACCTTGCCCCTCTTGTTACTCCTTGTTGTGTGGTTTAGTATGTGCTTCTTGGCACTTGCTGCTGCCTTGCAGTTACCTTTTGGTGTTTCTGGGCTTGGCATCCCCGCGGCCCGGTCTCCAGGCTTCCTCGTTGCTCGGCTGGTCGTCCAGGCTGTTTGACACCACT